GGGGTCGATGCTGCCAAGGTGCCTGTGTTAGGTGGGGTTGAATCTGTGGGTAGGAAGCGACGGCTGCTGTTTCTTTTCGTAAGACAGCTGCTGTGCTGCTGGGTAGTTTTATCTTTTTTTGAGGGAAGCTGTCTGCTGGGTATTTAGCCTCTCTCCTAATTCCGCTGAAGAGATTAATTCGGTTCTTAGGAACCAGGTGCTTAGGATAAAGTCTCTGAAAAAAATTGCTGTTTCCACTTACTTTCTAGGACTAGAGCTTATAATAAATAGCAAAGTTACATTAAAAATGCTTACAATTTATGCCAGCCATTCCTCCTCTAGCAGAACCTGCCCTGGCGCCAGCGTTGTCCAGTGGCAAGATCCCCGTGGAAGTGTTAATGGTTCTCAGTCATTAATCTTGCTGCTTTTTGCTGTAGCTGTATGTTATCTGCTCGCAAGCAGACACGCTGAAGCTGCTGGACTGGCAGCCAGTTCCAGTTCTCTCCTGCACATGTCAAGTCGTCTCTGTTGTGATTTATAGACAGCGATGCCAGGAGACCGGGCAGAAAACGCGCTTCATTGCGTGCAGATATACCTGTGCTGAGCGTGGCCTCGCCGGCGGCTGCTCTTTGCTGAGGCTGGACCCAAGGTGTGGTTGCTCCTATAAGCAGACACATATAGGAAACCCCATATTTTTGATCGTCTATTCTTAGCTCTCACTTGGGACATCTCCTGTATTTCTGTTCCTCCCCCTGCCTTGGGGGAGATGCAAAGCACCTCTGTCACCTGCTCCCCAAGAGATCATCTGGAAAAGCTGAAATAAATCCACTGAAAGGCCGTTAAGGTAGGAGGAGGAGGACAAGGTGGGGATGATCCTGAGGAGCAGGGGTAGCTTTTCCCCACTCCAGTCCTTGGGATTTAGAGATGGGGGCTAAGCTTGAAGGAATTTCGAGGCATTTTCTTTGGTCAGGGAGTAAGGAGATTTGTTATCGAGTAGCTCTGAAAAGTGCAGCACTGTACGACTGTGTGTCTTGCTGAACCAGCACACAGAAATCCTGAGCTCCGAGGTTCTTTAAGAAACAGATTGCTAATTATTTATGTTAGCATAATAGTCAGGAAAGGAACTTTTCTTTCATTCTTTTCTTTCTTTTATACCCAAAGGAATAAGCTGCTTTTATAATTTATTCTAGGCTTTGCTAGAACAAAAGTTATCAAGTATTTATCACAAATTTGGCCTCTGTCTCTGGGAACAGATGTCAGTCAGAGCTTGTTAGTGGAGGTGGTGATATAGAAAGCAGCATTTAACCAAGTTATCATGGAAGTGAGGGACAAGCGCAGCGGTCCCGAGCATGGCCGGGCTGGCAGGATGCGTGCCCGGATCCTCCACAGCAGCATATGACCAATGAAGGTTTGATGGCTGTCCATCCTGCTCGTAAAAAAGGTAAATTACACGGAGGAACTTATTTAATGAGGTTTTGTGGCACTTAAACACTTGAAGTGCTATCAAAGACAATATCCGAAGCCTATCGAATCTCAGTGTTTCTGTACAACCTGTTAAGATACAAAGAGGGCTGTAGATCAAGTAGATCTTCTCTGTGAGGTTATCTCCTAAAATCTTCTCTTCTGCTATTTTTTTACCTTTCGCAGCTGATTTTCTCTTCCGGCACTGGCTTGCCCGTCACCTTTGCTTTGTTCTCAGCTGTTCGCTGTGCAGCCAGGGATGCTTCGGCAGGGTTGTCGGGACGTGCTTGTCAACCGGCTCCTTTGATCTCTCTATTGCTCTTATTTTTAATGATAATTTCTGACTTGTTCTGGCATAACTCACAGTGGCTTCTGCGAGATTTCAGCTGGAGTGGGGGGGGAAAATAAAACAGAAAGATGGCACTTAGGCAAATGCCACAGAGTTAATTAAGGCCTTTTCCCTCAGTGGGGCATTTTCCACGCATGTCTGTGAACGGTTTAGGGGAATGGATTGCTGAGCAGCTGTAAGTTAGCTTTGGTTTTGTAGGGAGAAAAGGCACCATCTCTGCCCTGGCTTCCCCTCCCGAGCTGCTTTGCCGGGCTCCAGCTGACGGAAGCTGCCGCTCAGCTCTTCCCTCGCAATCACCGAGCACCAGCCTTCTGCCAACCGGTCCTTCGGAGCGGTAAGAGCCCACGTGCCAGGGCTCCTGGGGTGGACGCTGACCCCGTAACACTTCTGGATGCCCTGGGCCCCTCTTTCCCCTGGTCCCACTGTTTGGACAGCGTGCCTGGGGCTGCAGAGCCACGGTTGTGAGCACACAGCGGGAGACAGCTGCAGCATCCAGCCCTCCCCGCTTCGACTAGTGCAGGAAACGCGTTGGATGCCCACCTGGGATTTCTCACCACCTCCCTCATTTACCTGCAAGGCTCAAATGTGGATTTTTAGACTTAGAGCTACCACCTCATCCCCTCTGTTTTCTCTTTATTCCACCAAAAGTGACTTTATTTAGGATGGAGCTGGGTTTTATTTGTTTGTTTGTTTTTTTCCTCTCTAGGCAAAGTCTGGCCAGGGTTGTGTTGTTTTTCAAGAGCGGCTGGTTCGTGGGCAGATGCAGTGGTGACAGCTCAGCTGTACGGGCATGGATGGTTTGCACAATTCGACTGTGATTTGATACGATCCATGGCCCAGCTCTCCAGCCACGGGAGATGGTGGGCTGCAGGGTGCCCTGTGTACGTTAGCTGGGGGATTGCAGTGCTCGTGATGTGGGAGTTAATGAGTGATGGGGTGTGTTGACTGGGGACGGGGTTGCCATAGTTTGAGCAGACCGGTTTTAGCATCAAGCCTATTAGGAAGACAGGACTGGAATAAAGACGTCCAGCCACTGGAACATTTACTGGTACTATGGGACTAATTGATGGTGTCCCCCATTCACTCCCATTTTCTCTTTGAATTTAGAAACAAATGATGAGTGTATCAAGCACCTCTCCTTTCGGCTTGTACCAGGAACTAGGGCTCTGCCAGATGACAGCACAAATCCATCTTAGCTCCCTGGAGACTAATTGTGCTGTTAGTAGCAACATCCAAGGTGGATGTTTAAGATTATCTTTTGACTTGAAGTGTGTGCTGTTCCCAGACTGCACAGAGGTTTATAAGTAAGCAATTAAGTTGTGAGGATGGAGAGGAGGGAGAAGAGGAATGAAATCATTGGCATGGGTGCAGAAGTCTGAACTGGCAGTCTCTGACTGCGATGGTTCTTGGTTTAAATCGTCTCCCGTTGCTTATGCTCAAACTGCATGGATAGAGCTGATGTAATGTGAATTTTCTGGTGGTGAAAATGCAGGAACAGGTGTCCTATAGAATAGATACTCTGCTCCTCAGGTCCTGGCTTACCGCTGCCTCTCTTGCCATCCAACATCTCAGCATGCTTTTTTCCTGATCTCCAGCACCTCCTGCTGATGGAGTCTGGCCCTTTCTGCGCAGCAATGCTGGTCCTGCTCTGTTCTGGCCGGTGCTTGGCAGCAGCGCTCAGTCAGTCAGTAAGTCAAGGACAGGGTTTGTAGCTGAGTGTAGCCGTGCTGTGGGCGCTCCCTACACAGCCACGTCCTCCGCTGCCGAGTTTGCCAGACGTATTATATAGTAAAATTATATGTCTCGCTTTGAAAAACTCTGCTTTTTCTCATAATTTTTTATGGTAGCTGGCTACTTTGGCGAACGCTCAGCAGCATGTTATCAGGAATGGAGAAGAAGGGCTCCTGGGCGCAGATAAATTGCGGACACACACTGGGTGCTCTGCATCTCTCAGAGTGTCTCGGAGCATGGGACACTTGCTGTGTCCGAGTGCTTAATCCCCAGGGAACTGCCTGGGTCTGGCAGCCTCCTTCCAGCTCTGCCCGTGGCCTACGGCAGCTCTGGGATCCCACTTTTCAGCCAGGTTTGCAAGTCCCTGTTGCTGCCGTAGCGCTTGGGGAAGAGTTGGCGAAGCGTCAGATTATGGTCAAGGTGGGGTCTACGTGGGCAGCGCTTTCGGCAGTGTTGGTTAACAAAGCGGCGGCGGCGGCATCTACGTTTGGTACCGGGTGGTTGGGGGCTTGCAGACCCCACTGGTGGGCTGGTTGCTCAGCCACTTCCACCTTGGAAAAACAGCCTGGGGACAAACCTAGCAAAAACTAATGGCAGTCGCCTAGAATCACTTTAAATGGTGCAGTCAAGGGGGAGCTGGTTGAGAAGGTTTTTGCTCTGGACTAACTGTAGAGTTGGCTTGCGTTAGAGGAGCCCTGTATCAAATGAATAATATTTTTGTGGAAGCACCATAGGAAGTGCTGCAGTAATTAAAGAACACAGTTTTACCATGCTCTCTGTGGGACAGTGTGCCTTGCAGGGCCTTTGTTTAAGGTGTATGCATCGTTGTGGCTTGTGGACGCTGTGACAATATTTCTTCCTTTGCTGTGCCCTAAAACAGTGAAGCCATTTCATTTTCTATGCAGAGCACTTAAATTTTTAAGAATCATTCTGGTTTGGGGACTGTATTTCTTATCAGAGTTACTGCAGTGTATCAGAGGAAATACTTGCACCCTGCTCTTTGGATATTCTCAAATAAAATGCTCTGAACAAAAATTGATTTTGCACACACAGAGTAAACTGTAGAACTAGAAACTGCTTCAGATATTAGGAAACACCAGACATCGGTACTTGAGGGATTTCTGAATTTATTATAGGGAAAAACTCTGGCAGGTAATTTCTAGCATAGCTGAGGGGTTTATTTCCCTCTTACTGTCTCCTGAAAAATGGTGCATGCTTTCCTATAAGCACAGGGTGCTGCTCTTTAATGGGCAGAGCCAGGCTCAGTAGCTCTGGAGGAGTGTGTTAATTCATGGTTTTCAGTGGATACAATTTGCAATGTGATCACAGGTATAAAGTTTAAAGCAGCTTGAATATTTGCTAGTTTTACATGATACTTAGCCATGCTTTGGAAAGAGGAATTTGCATTTATTCTCAATTTTTCCCCTCTTTCCC